TTGATGGGGATTGCATTGAATCTACAGATTGTTTTTTGTGGAATGGGCATTTTTACTATGTTAATCCTACCAATTAGTGAGCATGGGAGAACTTTCCATCTTCTAATATCTTCTTCGATTTCTTTCTTTAAATATTTAAATGTTTTGTCATACTAGTCTTTCACTTGTTTGGTTAGAGTTAACCCAAGATATTTTATATATTATTTGTGGCTATGGTGAACGGTGTTGTTTGCCTGATTTCTTTCTCAGTCCATTTGTCAGTTGTATATAAAAGGGCTACTGTTTGGCATGGAGTTAATCTTGTATCTAGAAACTTCACTAAAGGAGTTTTTTATCAGTTATAGGAGTTTCCTGGTAGAATTTTTGAGATCACTTATATATACTATCATATCCTCTGCAATTAATGATACCTCAACTTCTTTCAAATTTGTATCCTCTGATCTCTTTCTTTCCAATTTGTATCCCCTGATCTCCTTCAGTTATCTTATTGCTTTCACTAGAACTTCAATCACTGTATTGAATAGATATGGAGAAAGTGGACAGCCTTGTCTAGCTCCTGATTTTAGTGGAGTTGCTTTGAGTTTCTCTACATTTAATTTGATGCTGACTATCATTTTGGGGTATATTGCCTTTATTTAAGTTTAGGTAAGCCCCTTGTGGCCCTAGTCGCTCTAAGATTTTCATCATGAAGCAGTGTTAGATTTTTGTCAAAGGCTTTTCAGCATCTAATGAGATGATCATGTGTCTTTTCTTTCAGTTTGTCTATATGGTGGATTAAATAGACTTACTCATATTGAACCATCCTGCATCTCTGGGATGAAGCCTACTTGATCATGGAAGATGATCTTCTGGATGTATTCTTGGATTCTCTTTACAAGTATTTTATTGTGTATTTTTTCATCTATGTTCATAAGGGAAATTGGTTTGTAATTATCTTTTGTTGAATTTATCTGTAGTTTGGTTATCAGGGTGACTGCAGCTTCATAAAATTAATTTGGTAGCATTACTTCTATTTCTATTTTGGAGAATAATTGAAGAATATTGATGTTAGTTATTCTTTGAAAGTCTGGCAGAATTCTGTGCTAAAACTGTCTAACCCTGGACCATTTTTGATTGGGAGACTTTTAATGACTGCTTCTATTACCTTAGGAGTTATAGGTCTATTTAAATTGTTTCACTGATTTTGATTTAGCTTTTGTAAATGATATCTATCAAGAAAATTGTCAGTTTCTTTTAGATTTTTCAATTTTGTGGAGTACAGGTTTTTTAATTATGACCTAATGTCTGTTGCGTTCCCCCTTTTTGTTTCTTATTTTGTTAATTTGGATATTCTTTTTCTGTCTTTTAGTTAATTTGGATTTAGTTGATTTTTCTCAAAGAAACAACTCTTTGTTTCATTGACTCCTCTTTGCTTCTATTCTGGTCCAATCTATTTGGCGTTCTGTAAATTTCTTATACTTTTATACACATGTCCTTCTTTAGGTTAGGAAAATTTTCTTCTCTGATTTTATTTAAAAAATATTTTCTGGGCCTAGGAGCAGGGATTCTTCTCCTTCATTTATTCTTATTATTCTTAGGGTTTGTTTTTTTTTTCAGTGTTCTGGATTTCCTGGATGATTTGCATGAGGAATTTTTTATATTTAACACTTTGATAGATGACTTTCTCCTATGGTATCTTCTACGCCTAAAGTTCTGTCCTCTATCTCTTACATTCTGTTGCTGGTTCTTGTATCTGTAGTTCTTGTTTGCTTACGTAGGTTTTCCATCTCCAAGATCTCCTCAGTCTGTGTTTTCTTTATTGCTTCTATTTCCATTTTCAGATCTTGGACAGTTTTATTCATTTTCTTCAGCTGTTTGTTTTTTCTTGGCTTTCTTAGTTTCTTGAAAGGATTTATTCATGTCCTCCAATTATTTATATGTGTTTTCCTGGCATTCCTTGAATGATTTTGTTCTTGAGAGAATAAAACACTTTTAACTGAAAAATTATTACCAGTTCCCGGTCAGGAACATGAAGCTTATCACACAGCCAAATAAAGAATGGTTAGCAAAAGTGATAAAACGAAAGGTCGCTTATCTTCAGTGACACTCAGAACTACAAGCTCCTTGGAAAGAAGCACTGGCCAAGGCACTGCCCTGTAGAGCTGACAAGGCATTTTGTGATCACCATCATGCAAAGCCCAGCCTCCCTGTGGGGCTTACACTACTCCTCCACACCTTGTCCTTGCTGACAACAGCTCATGGATCAGTCGCCCTCTTCATAGAGGTTTCTGACGTATGATGAATTAATCCCTTCATAATAGTACCATAATTGTCCAAATGGCCACTCAACAAGCTAACTTCAGAATTACTTATTCTATTTCAAATAATTCACCCACATTCACAAGGAAAACCCACTGGATGACCATCTTGACCTTAACTCTAAAATTCTGCCCTCAAAGAATTTCTGACTGAAAAAAAAAACAAAAACCTCTAAAAATGGACCTTTAGCTCCAGCCTCTCTCCTCCTCCCACCTCTCTCCCTCCCTTCCCCTCCCCCCCCCCAGAAATTCTTCTTCTTCCACTCTAGTTGCACGGCAGTGATTACAAGTCCCCACACTGGTCTATACCAGCCTGCCCACCAAGTGTCTGCCTATTACTGCTCAACTCTCCTTCTCCCACAACAACCTCCAGAAAATCCTGATCAGTGAACATCCTCACCCTTGTCTTCCCATGGCTGCAGAGGAAGAGAGGCTTTGTCTGCTGCTGAACACGGAACATTCTATCTTAGATCCAGGATCCTCACATTTCCTTGTGAGCTTTTGTTGTGAAATAGAATGAAAATATTTTTTCTTCTTCTAGCTTATCACACGAACAACAATATTTTATTTTTATTTATTTATGTGTAGGGATGTTTTGTCTGAATGTGTGTTTGTGCAACATAGACATGACTGGAGCCCATGGAAGCCAGAAGAGGACACTGGGTTCCTTTAAACTGGAGTTATACACAATGTGAGCCACAGTGTGGTGCTGGTAACTGAACCCAGGTCCTGTGGAAGAGCAGCCAGTGTTTTTACTTGCTGAGCTATCTCTCCAGCCCACTGATCATACTTTTCTTGAAATATCCTGCTGGGTTTCCAAGACATCAATCTCTCCTGATTCTCCTCCTGTCTTTTGTTTAGTCTTTAATTCATATTTTCTAGAATCTCTTTCTCAGTTATTTCTATAAATGTTGGCATTCTAGAGATTTTTTTCTCATCTTCCTCCTTGAACAGTGGCCCAAATCTTGTGAGAGAACCTATCGCCCATGAGTCCCTGGTTCCTACATAATTTTGCCCTACATTATTTCAATTCCCCTCATCTCCTGACCCTATATATACTCAAGTGCTCTATACCTAGACTTTCATAATTAAGTCTAAGACGCTCCCACCTTACTCAACATAGTAAGAAACTAGAGTTGCCATTTTTCTCTCCGTATTTTCTGTGCTGTCTGCATAGTCTATCTAAGTTCACAAAATGTGACATTATTCACCTACCCACCAAACTTACTACCAAGTTGATTTCAGTCCTAAATCTTTCCCAGAACAGCCAAGTAACAACTCAAACAGTTTACCACATAGACTCAAATCATGTCTCTACCATTCTGCAGGCACATTATTACTTAACACTTCTGTCTTGATTTCCTTGTGAGTAAGAAAGCAATGTTGTACACTACTGTCAGGAAACACAAAGTGCTCAAAATATTTTCTACCAGTATTACTGTAGTGGCCAACCAATCAGCATGTAATATGAGCTCTTCTCTATGACCTTAATTCTAGTTTGATTCATGTCCTCATCATTCTAAAGAGCTATTGCACCTTACTTAATAAATATTGAAATACATGTCTTTTAGATTTTCCCATCTTCCATTTGGGATGTTAGCTTATGTGACATTATTTGACAGCATATCACAATTGCACATGTAAGATAGGGTGTTTGTTTCTTAGTGCATCTTATAACTGTGGTGACAAGGAGCACTAGTGGAACCTCACCTATTTGCCTGCCCTTCATTCTGATCTGCCACATCAGCTAGTGGTCCTAAGATGGCTACTGCCAGAAGGCCAGAAAGAACTGGGAGAGAACCTACAAAACAGTGTTCTGCGGGTATCAATTACTTGGTTATCATGTTCTCTTAATCTTAGGGACTTCTACAGTAGTAGCTGCATTGCAAGAACTTCTGAAGAAAAATGATTGCTAAACTTTAACAATTTATCTATTCATTTACTTATTAAACAAATATGTGCAAGGTATCAGAAATTATCTGAGGCTCTGATCATACAGCTGAAACAAATCCAACCTTTCGTGAGTTTCACGCTGACAAATGGAAATTAAAAACATAAATATGTAATATGGAACCTATACCATTTATGCACAATAGAGAAAAAGCAAAGTAGGAAGATGGACAAATTTAACCCAGGTGACAACCACTTGATTAATGACTGCCCCACATGGTAACAATGCCAACACCATTAGATTTTAAGAGCATTTAAACAAATGAAAGAATATCAATTAGGGATTTACCTAAGCAGATTGATTTAAAACAGAAAGAGTAAATCACAGAGGCCTTGGGTTCCCACAACATATAGGCTGTGTAGCTTTAGTTACCATACAAATAAGGACTGTGGCTATAGCTTCTGCGGCCTTGATAAGTCTTTGCCATTTGTATTTTAGAAGGTCATAAATGTTGAATGAGGGCATGTTTCAGGTACAGGACTTACAGCCACCTCTACCTTTCCTGAACTCCCAAAATAGCTAAATGTTCTCTTTAAAGGGCTCCTATGCTCTGAAATAGATGCTCCCAGGAGCTGCTATAACTCATTTCAACCTGGCCGAATAGGAATGAATAAACCTCTCTACTGTTGGTTTTCTCTTCCCTGCAATGCTTGGGAATACAGAATGATCTCTAAAGGTTTATGCTCTATTAACTTCATGAGCCACCAGAAAAAAATCCTGTCAGTCTCATCAAGATAATTGAACAGAGGTACCTTCAGTGTCCTGATATGATTCTCCGCTTCGCTCTTTTCTTTCTTAAAGTGCTTCATCAGCTCCTGGATGTTCTGTTCATGCTTGGTTTTCACACTGTGCAGTGATGATGTGAGATCTTCCAGCTCCCTCTGGTGAACGTCTCGTTCTAACTTTAACTGTGTGATAATGGTAGCCGTTTCTTCCTCTTTAGACTTTGCCTGGGCCGTCAGTTCAGAAAGGTTCTTGAGCACAGCTTTCCTGGCTCTCTCTTCTTCAGCCAGTTTATTAGCGAGATCGGCTCGGATGGCGCTCAAGTCCTTGATGGCCTCTTGCATCTCAAGAAGTTTGGCTTTGTCCTGGGCCTGGCTCACCTTGAGCTCTGCGATTTCTTCCTCCAGGTGAATTTTCTCAGCTTTGATCTGGCTTTGCATCTTACTCTGTCTTTTCACTTCACTCTCCAGCCGATGGATGGTGTCTAGGGAATTCTTCACCTCCAGCTCGAGGTCAGCTTGGTGAGACTCAGCGTCACTGAGTTTCTTCTCCTTGCAGTGCAGCTCCTCCTCCTGCTGGGCACGCTTGGTCAGGACGTCATTGAGCTCCTTTCTGAGATTCTCTATCTGCTGTAAGGCTGGATAAAGCTGGCTTTTCAACTCATCCTTCTCCTTTAGAAGCTAGTGGGTTACAAAACCAAACCAAGGAAATGTTACTACAAAATTTACTATGCATCTTCCAAGTAACAAAATAAAGCTCAATCCATAAGGAGAAAATTTCATTAAATAATATTTTGCCCATTTTAATGAACAATAATTTTAGGCTGGAAATGAGATATAAGCATATAAACACTTTATAGCTATGTAAAAATCACATATTACACTACCACACTGATATGAACATGTATTTCAGACAACTGTTACCAAAATGTACTAATCTATAATAATCAACAATTAGTCAAATGTAAGATAAAATCAAGCAAAGGAATAAAGGGGGGGGAAAAAACCTCTGTTGTGACTTTACTACATACTGAAACATTAAAACATTGCTTAAAAAAATAGTAATGTATATTCCAGTATTATACAAAACCAAGAGGTAAAGATAATATGAGGAACCTAGACAACATCTAATAAAGGTTATAATACATGATGTGCATCACTTGTGATAAACTAATGAAATAATGCCAATGTCTGAGAAGAAGCACAGCAACACACAACCAAGAAACCTGGAGATCCCACAAAGATGAACATAAGCTCTTTAACCATGGGAAGGTACTCAAGAGAAATCTATTCCCTGAGGGTAAGGGTAAACTGGGTGACAGAGGCCAGGAACCAACCATCCTGGCATCTGATTCTCAGCACATTCATTTCGAACAACAGCGGCCAGTGGAGCCAAGTTGTTTCTAACACACGCTGAGCATGAGCAATGCTTATGCTTGCTGCCGGTTCTCAAATGCCCTCCTTGCTAAGATTTTGTTGCATTAGTTTTTGCTTTTCCCTTTTACTTTGAACTGAGAAAAATGCTGCATATATTTATGAGATGCAATAAGATAAATACTAGGCTTCTTTCAGAATCTCAAAGTTACCTAGACTTTATAAAGTTACATAAAAGCACATGCATATACACACATATGTACCAATGAAGCGGTAAAGCTGTGAAGAGAATCAAAGGAGACCAAAGCAAACAGGGAAGGTAAGAAAGTAGGTGTGTGTGTGTGTGTGTGTGTGTGTGTGTGTGTGTGTGTGTGTGTATGTGTGTGTAATTAAGTAAAAGGAAAAAAGAAAGGGGGAACTGTCTAAGCTGCTGGCCTTTGACCTGGGAAAACTGAATTTGCTTATCAGGTCAGCCATAAATAGGTCAATGGGCCTAAATTTTTAAATCATTTAACTTCAAAGAAAAAATAATTTATGATTCGGCACAAAGACTTTCTCTAGATACTTGAACCATGTTCTTGGGCTTCCCAGTCTCCAGAACTGAGTCCAATGGAATTCTATTGTTTACCCTCAGTCTGTGACATTCTGTTACAACAGGCAATAGCCTCATATAAGCTGTAATAACAAATACAGCATTTTAAGGGAATCATTACATTCATCTTACTAAAGAAGATAGAAATACCCTGTAAGGATAATGTGGCAAGATTCTAAAAGGAGGCCGCTTAAATACATGGATTAATGCTTGGAAAGGAAGCTGCCACAGACACGCTAACCATGAGTCAAGAGGTTTTCCGACAGAGATAAAGGTTGGTGTCTCATGACAACCTCTACCTGGTAGAACGTCCTCCTCCTGAAAGTAGCTTAAACAGCAAGAATCTTCCTTTTTCTCACAACGCAACAGGTCCAGAAACACAATGATTTAGTGACTGTCCTTAGAATCTGCTACTTTACAATTCTCTGAGTTCTCCATCTTCCCAGGATTCCAAAATCCTATCAATCCACATGAGAAAGGACAGCTCGGGCTGGAGAGTTACAGGACACTAGTCAGGTCTGGAACTTTCTTTGGGGTAATATAGACCCTGAAAACTATGTAATATTCATATATTTGCTTCTGGCTAAGGGATAGGTATGGTGAATAAAAGAATTGATAGGTCTCGGACTGAGATTCTGGAACTGAAGGTGTAAACAAAGATCTATTCTAGACGAAGAATAATCTGAGTTGTCCGAGTCAGCAGCTTGGGTGGAGCGACCTGCAGATCCCTGTGGAGCAGGACAGATTGAGTAATTCTTGACGACAAGAATTACTTTTAAGAAACCGGAGGGGGATAGGTGTCAAGCCCTTGAGAGATTTGGAAAAATAATGGGGGGGTGGGGAATGAGAAAGAGAAAAGAATGTTCTAGCCAGGTAAGCACAAGAATGGCATTGTCCAAAACCTTGATAGGAGCAGAAAAGGGACAACTCCTCAAAGACCCCACCAATGTCCACAGCACCATTTTATTTACTAAGAGGTTCGCTGCGGAGGGCTTAATGTTATTCACCTTTGGAAAGGAACGCAGAAAATGCCAGTGCATTCCTGAACTGCACCTCATAGGCTGCTGCAGCAGAAGCTTGAAAAGTGAAACACATTAGCAATGCGCCTTCTCACCTTAAACTATTAAATAGTTCAGACCTCAAGGAGAAGGCCATAACATCTCTCGGCAGGGGAGAAATGCATAGATGGAAAAGATGGCAAATGAAGATCCTTAAAGCCAAACACGATCAAGCAAAAAGCTGAATACACAAGCAAGCTGAAAGTTCTGCCAACTCAGCAGGAACAAAAAAAGAAACGCAGGGAACGCTAGTCATACGACAGTATAGGAAACTGGAGGAAAAACAGAAACGCGCACACCACGATCAAACTCGGATTTCTAATTCTTCCTCTTTGATTTTCAAAGCTCATCTGAAAACCAATGATTTCCAACAGCACTTAGAAAACGAGAAACTAAACTATCCGGACTAACGGCCAGATCACAAGAGCGATGCCCTGCAGTCTCCCTGTGTGTTCATGCACACTACTCAGGTGCACCGTGCTCCCTGGTCCTTGCTTATGCTCCCATTGAAGGGAAGAAAATGACCTCATCTTATTTGCTTTTGATGCCATTTTTCTATGATTATATGATTTGGGGTTAAAAATTACATGTCCTTTAGCAAGTAAAATAGTTTTGGTCATGTGACCAAGATTCAATAAACATACGTAAGAAAAATAGAAGAAATGGCGGGAGTGTTTAAAGAGAAAAGAAGCACTTAGTCTTTTAACACACTTTTAAGTGGCAAATTTTAAAGCAGTACATAAATTATGCTACAAAGAGAAACAGACTAGGCATAGAATCATTTTACAAATAAAAAATCTGTATCAGTTGTGCACACAAAATGGATCAACAAAGTTAGAAAATTATTTATTAAATTCATTCCTTAAACTACAAGGTGTTAAATTTGTATGATTTTTACTTTGAAATACACTTTCAAGTATACCCAAAAGTTGTTTTGTGAAAATAATTAGCCCAAAACAAAAAAGTAGATATTATGTCTTAAGATATCTTTGTGATTTTTATTAAAAATTAAACCTTAAGTAAATATTCCTTATAGGCAATATTCAATAAGTTGCGTTTCCCCTCTCTCTCTCTCTCTCTCTCTCTCTCTCTCTCTCTCTCTCTCTCTGGGGGGGGGGGTATGTGTGTGCTATTGGAAATTGAACCCAGGGCACTGAATATGCCAAGCGTGTATCACTGACCCCAGTACAACACCAGGATGCCTTCCCCTATTACTCTCCACCTTATGATTTTAAGAGCAGGTCTCTCACTGAACCTGAAGCTTGGTGTTTTGGCTGAACCGACTGGTCAGGTAGCCCTCAGATGCACCTGTCTCTGGTTCTCAGTCCTGGGATCACAGATGTGTACCACTGTACCTAGCTTTTCCATGGCTTCCCAAGACCCAATCACAGGTTCCCATACTTGTACAGCTTGTATGTGCCATCATCCTAGCTGCTAGATACTATGAAATGTTCCCAAAATTATTCACCACGTATTTGTACATCACAGATTTACTGGACCCTTGGAGCCTCCATGAAACATTTCTAAGCCTTTCTCCCTTGATTAATCATTGCTCACACTGCAACATGCCACATTAATTTTTAAGGTTTTTAAAGGATAAATTACAATGCCTGCTGTGATAATTGTAATCCTATCCTAACTGCAGAAATCACTTTAAAACTACTTCTTGCTTATCATCAGTAATGATAAATGATAAAAAATAATTTTATCAGGAATATTCTGGGAAATGATAGTTTAATAATTTTTAGTATTCTAAAAACTCAATCTAATAAGTGCTCAGCACCATAAATTGGGATACTGCCTGGTGACATGGACCATTCTAAATTTCCTCTAATAAAGCCAGATCCCCAGACAACTCTAGGTCAATCAGCAGCAACTCTCAGCTCTCTGGCTGCCTTCCCTTACAGGCATATTCACAGAACCAGTTGCCAGGCCAGGCCGACAACAGTATAATCAAGGTAAAGGAAGTTTCTGAGATCAAATCAATTTAGATTCGAGTCCAAAAGCTTTGAGACCACTTTACCTCCTGGCAGCCAGTCACGCAACTGTGTGTCAGATGAGTTAAAACAGACGGCACTCCACAGTGAGCAAAGGCTTCCCTGATCTTAAATCTGAAGAATACATACTTAAAAGGTAAAGCATCACGTTCATGACATTTGACCCAAAATAAGTCTCTGTCATTGTAAGTGATGTCAGCTGATCCTATGAACATAATTGTCCTGAATTTTCCTTTTCTGATGCTATTTGTATTATTTCCAAAGAGAGTCCACTTAAGCAAATGATTATTCTGGACTATTTTGAGTTCTTGACAAACAACAAAGTATATACAATAATCCCAGACCAAACATGGACAAAAATCTATCGTGACTTTTTAACATCTGTGTCTAGTTCAAACCAAAGATACAGCTGAAAATCAACACAGGGGTATTAAATCTATTAGAAGGAACTGATTGTGCAAGAGACAAGATACAGTGAATACATACCAAGATTAGCACAGGCTTTCTGCTGCTCTTAGGAGAGCACAACATAGTCAGAAGGAGCCTTGTGATCGGAAGGCACTGCTCTGCCAGTGACGCTGCCAGTGTCACCCCTTTAGCTCAGCCGATTCCAGCACCTCCCTGGAGAATTCATTAGTCACTACTACAGCTTTAACCCTCTCCTTTCCACCCTGGCCTTCAGTCAAGGTACTCAAAGAAATGAGACTGGAAAGTACATGGAGTAGGGAGTGAGCCATCTTGCTAAGGGAGATGAAGTGACTTTTCCTCTGGAGAGTTAGAATATTGAAAAATAATTCAAATTAGAGAACTCATAAGCTAAACTGAGACAGAAGGTAGAAGATCCCTCGACTCTGAAAAGCCACCAAATATTAAAATATTTTAGGAGATCTGAAAAATCCAAACACAAAATAATGTTTTCCCTTCAACTAAATAATACATAATGGCTTTTTGTCTGAGGGTGTATCAATAGGTGTAAACCTAGCATGGTCCTCAGGTGTTCTTTCAAAGGATGGATGGACAAAGGCTAGGAACCTGGCTCTTATACCTGATTGTTCTTATCTGTCAGCTGGTCCAGGGTTTCTGCTTGTTTCTCCAGTGCCCGCTCCAACTTCTTATGCTTCACCTTCCACTGACGGATGGTGTCCTGGGCCTTCACTTTCAGGTCTTCTCTCCTCTTCTCAGCCTCCTCTCTCAGGGCTTCTGATCTCTGGAACTCACTAAGGTAGTGCTCTGCCTGCTTGGTCGCATCCTCTGCGTGGTGACTCAGCTCTGTTATCTGGAGGTCACTGCGCTGACGATCAGCCTCACAGGTTTCAAAGTGATTCTGGATCTCCTTAAGTTGATCTAACATCTGCAGTTGTTGTTTTTCCCTGATCTCCAAGTCACGTGTTAGAGTCTAGAATGAACACATGGAATATTAAGATTAAATTCTTGTCAAGGTTGGGTGTGTACCATGCTATCCAATACACTCTGAGACAAAAGCCATCACCACCCAGTTTCATTCACCATCAATCTAGAACGTCGGGTTCATTGCTGTGTATTTAACAGTCAAATTAACTTGGGGTAAACTAGTACCTCTCTTTCACACTATATCTTTCTAATTGTCACAAAATTAGAAGGCAGTGCTGAGAAAAATGTGTTATTTTAGTAAAAACCTACCTACTGCTTTATTCAACTAAAGCAAAGTCAGTGATTTAAAATATGTCAGATTATTAGAAAACTCTTAGAAGCAATTATGTAGCATTTCACCATGTGGCAGCACATGAAACATATTATAATAAAATAATAAATCAGTAACAATAACATGAGCATTAATGATGGAAACCTCATGTTGATAACACTGTGTTTAAAAGTTCCTTTCAAAGATTCCCTGGGAAGTGGTCACAGTTATTTCCAGTTTTAACAATGTAATATAAGTCTAAACAGTTCTCTCATGCTGTTATGAACTACTGCAGTACATAATTTCAAATAAACTTAAACTTATTCAGGACATTTCTTTAGTCAAGGCAAGTGTCTTTAAACCTAGCTTTCCTGAAATAGGGTGGGGTGGGTAATTTTTACATTTGGAAGTTTACACTAAAACATGATGAATGATACATAATAAGAAAATTAAATATTGAATGTAAAATGAGACTAATCGGTTTTATACAAGTAAAACAAGGTTATTTTACTCATAAAACTTTGTAAAGCAGTCATAAGTACAGAAATTAAGTATTTACAATGTTTCACAAAAGATATTCCTTCTGACAGTTACTTTCCTACACCTAGAAATGACAAATAACTCTAAAATGCCATTGGTCCAAAAAATAATGGACCCAACAGGCTAAAATGATGCTGTGATTCAGAGAAACAATAAACACCATCTATCTACCTGAGGCAATGAAGAATAGGCAGGCTAGAAGTACTTACAGAGTTCTGGCCTCAGCAGCAGCATTTTTCAGCCTCAGTTTCATTAACCATGATCAGTGGCTCAAAACTAAGCATCACAAGAATAACCAAGCTACCATCCATAGAACTAGAGAGGACAGGTACAGATTAAGGATCTAGGGGGGACAGAAAGATCTCTTTAGGAAGGGAAAAAAGAATAGTTACAGATGGGTGGGGACACTGGAACAGGAGAATCAAGTGGGGAAGGGAAGAGAGAGGGACCAAGGTGGGAATACAGGGAGAGACAGCTATAAATAATGGCCATTGGAGGGCTAATATGGAAACATAACACAGTAGAAGCTTCCTAAAATAAATACATATGTAAAGGCAATCAAAATGAAAGCATCAAATAATGGAGGAGACAGGACCCCGACTGGCCATCTCTTGTCACAAAATGAAGCTTCCAGTACTGGGATTAGGTTAGTCTAATTGAATTGTCGGCTACAGGGGTTCCATGGGAACCACCAAACAACCTAGGCTATGGCCAAGACAATAGTCACTCTCCACACAATGACAGCAAGGCCCCACTGCTGAAGACCACACCTAACACAACTCATTGAACATGGAGAAGCTGAGCTGGGGCCTACATAGAGCCTTCACCCCTATCTGCTACCATCTTTGGTACAGGAAGGCACTCTGCATGCTAATAAAAGAGAACATAAACACAGTCTAGCCACAAATCCTTTTAGCTACAATGGAGTCTGACCTACAGGATAAACTAGAGCAGTGGCGGCACAGAGCTTGTAGGACTAACCAATCAATTTCGGATTTGACTTGAGGCCCACTCTATAGATGTAACCCATATCTGACACTGCTTATTTGACCAAGAACCTCAGATTAGATAGCCCAGGGACCTAGAGCAAAACCAAATATTACTTTTTTAAAGAAAAGATAGATAAAAGTAACAATAAAATGACTTCTAATGACATCCTGCTATACTCTAGATCAGTGTCTTGCTTAGCTATCATCAGAGAAGCTTCTTTCTGTAGCAAATAGGAACAAACACAGAGACCCACAACCAGACAAAATGCAGGGTTAGAGAGCCAGGAACACTCAGCCCGAAACGGGATGCCTCTATCAAAACTCACCCCTTGGGGCTCAAGAACCCAGCAGAAGAGAAAGCAAAAAGAGTGTAAGAGTCAGGGGAGCTATAGGCCATCAAGAAAACAAGGCCCTCTACATCAACAGGAACAAAGGTCTTATAAACTCACAAAGACTGAGACAGCACGCACAGGGCCTGCATGGATCTGTACCAAGTCCGCTATGCATATGTTACAGCTTCCAGGTTAATGTGTTCGTGAGCTCTTGAGCATGTAAACAAGTTGGTCTCTGATTCTTGTGCCTTCCCTTAGGTTCTTTTCTTTGTTTATCCTAACCCAATGTGTTAGCTTTTGTCTTTTATTATATCTTATTTTATTATTATCCCTTAGAAGCCTGTTTGTTTTCTAATGCGAGACCAAAACGAGGTGGATCCAGATGGGAGGGAAGCTGGGGAGGAAACTGGGAGGAGTAGAGAGAAGGGAAATCATAACCAGGATATATTCTGTGAGGAAAAAAAAACAATTTTTTTCACATAAATGAAGTCATTTTGACATTATAACAAAAATTCCTTTTTAAACAAATAACCATGCCTTGAAAACAAGGTTCGTGTTCAGAGCAACAGGTTTGCATTTGCTCAGTTGCCCAAGTTCAGGGCAGCCTGGAAGACATGAGTCACCCCTTTGTCCACCCAAATCAAACAGTAAACTGAGAACTGTGCACTTGCTTGCATGGAAAATTCTAAGCAGAGATCAGAAAACTCTAGTGATTGTGGTTTACTGTTTGCCCTTATTCTAAAAGTTTTACAAATACTGTAGAAATCAACATTATTAATGAGCAACAACCACATGAGTCCACATTTGACAGCAACAAACAAGTGAACTTCTTGTTTCCTTCTTGTCTCTTTTGGCAACAACTTAAAAGAAGAGCAATTACAACCACCCTGTGTCAGATATTTGGCTCCTAGAAACAGTGTAAATAACAAAGAAACTGACAATTTAGTTGGGAAGATGTTCACAACCAACCCCTAAATCACATCCAACAACAGTAAACGCTAAACATGGTGCAGAACTGTCTACAGGTCTACATTCTATAGTCAGGCCTCCATGCTGTTTCAATTTGTGGCAGGCAACCAAGACTTGCTACACTTAAAAATCTGTCCAAAATCGCACACTTTGTAGTTTTAGGAAAGACACTGGGCATAGTATGATTTACACTGAAAAACCTGTCCAAGATCACACACTCTGTAGGTAATGAAAAGATACCTGATATAGTCTGGATCCAGGTTCCCTGTTCTTTGACACCCTTCCTGTTGCTATACCAGATTACTGTCAAGGAGAGGAACTCTCCCTTGGCATCCTCTTGGTGACCTTCCAAACCTGGGTTCCTAATCTCTGTATTCTTTCACTTTAGTCATTTTCTTGCTGACGTCTCAAACTCTTTCTAAATTGTTCATCAACAAAAACACCAGCTGGGATGAACTAGGCAGCTTCCTAATCCCTACCACAAGCTCTGAATCTCTTGGGGGGCAGGGAGGAATCACACAGGAGTAACAGTCAACTCAATCACAAATTAAGAGCCACACATCAGCACTTAGAAAATTTTCCACACCACCATCCAATTTAGACAAGGGTCATTCCAAACTCTTTCATTAATATTCTACCATCTCTCACCCACTTTTAATATGCAACCCAGCTCTCCTGAATAGAGTAAATTGAGGCAGTCTAGACAGGACACCACCAAAACATCAACCTGTACAACTCTGAACCTTACCAATGACTCATCTGTCTGCTTCTGTGATGTTTGTAGGACTCTATCATCAGTAAACAAATAACCAGGAATGCTAGTTCCTGGCTGCAACTGGAAGAACTTTTTATATTTAGAAGACACAGAATTATCTCAGCCCCTACAGCTTCATGGCATTTATTCCCCACTTAAATGCTATAAAAGCATAGAAACCCCATCTAACTAAGAATTCCTTCTTATACATTACCAAAACATTAGATCTTCCAACTAAATCTGAAACTTTTCAGAACTCGATTCCATTTCTATTCTCATCCTTCAAGGGAGAGAAAATGGTGATTGTTATATTAAAGACCTCAGGTTTGAGGAGTTTTTGAAGGATGTAGAGGACTCAACACTTTATAGTCAAACTTACGATAAAATTTAGTAAGATAAAAGGATACCAAGAAAAACCAGCAAAGGAAAGGGGGACAGAGGCTGAAACCCAGGGAAAACAGGGGTGATAATCCAGTCCTCTCTCCAAGTGGAGTCAAACATGAACTGCACAATCCCTCTAACAGGGAATTAGCAATACTTGTAAAATGTCGCCAGCTAAAAAAACTTATTAGAAACTTCAACCATGGGCATTAACATAAGCAACATCTGCCTATCAGATACCAAAACTCAAACTACAGCACAAAAGCACACAAACAAAACACCCTAGATATTCAACACATTATTTACAATGTCTAAGCAAAGTAAATAGTATTAAGGGTCACACGTTTGACTTCAAATCCCAGCTCTGGGACTCTCTGGCCTGAAAGGAGCAGATTATTCTCTCTGAACCAAAGCTATTCAATTTACAAAGTGAGCCAGAGAGTATCAGCCTCTCAGAGGAATCACAACCCACACAAGACCTAGAAAGTGCGTGAAGATGAATGCCACATTTTAGGAACTTAAAATGAATAGATTTTTATATCTAACCAGAGGACATATTGGGATGAGGAAGGTACTACAATGTCTACATTTTAGAGAGGGAAAGTTGAAGCAGAGTGGTCATTACAAGATAAAATGGGTATTTGACATAGAAATGACTAGTCATAAGCCCCTATGAGTCAAATGCTATTTCATTGTATTAATGACCTGAATATGGGCTAAAGAACTTGAATATCTATATAAGAGGTCAGAAATAGAAAAGAATCCTGAAAT